TCATAGAGAGGTTAATTGGATGTGTTATTTTTAAGTAGGCTAAAGTACACTGGAGAGGAAAAATGAAGCTATGAAAATTCGGAGAATGCATTAGGGATAAATGCTAGATATTATATACTGAGGAACATCTAGACCGTTAAGAAGATCTTTAAGGAAGGGCACTTTTTTCACCCTAAAATGTAGCCAAATGGATACTTCCAGCTCATCTACTTGCTTTTTAAATTCAATTTTTTGGCTTGCACTAGCATGCTCATCATAAAATGTATGAGCCCTGTATGCCAAAGGGAAAAAACATAAAGCACAGCTATGACAGATAAAGCTGCACATATTATTTAGAATTATGTTTTCATTTTCTTGCATGACTTATTTTTAACGTTATTTTTTTTCTGATTTGCTACTCAGTGGTTTACCTCCTCCTGAGTATATCATAACTTTCATGTCATATATCTGAGCTCCATCCAAGCAGGATATATTTCTTCCCACTCTGTAAATAGATTCACTGATTGCACTGTAATGTTATTTTTTTTTAAGAATATCCATGAGATGGGGGAGCAAAGCAAAGGCAGAGTTAAGTTAGGAAAGTGCATTCATCCTGGCTATTTATGGATGTCCTTAATTATGCTTTTTGTTTGTTTCTTTGTTGGTTGATTGTTTTCCTGCTTGAGCAGAGATGTGGCTTAATTAAAAATACAAGTTACTTGAGTATGGCTACCTGGCTTGTGCTTTCCAGGGACTTAATAGGATGARTGGTCTCCCTGAACAGTGAAATGTTTTGCTTGTGTAAATATTTGAATAATTTTTGAATGTCCAGAAAGGTTCTCTAACTCCTGACAAGTATAAAGAATTAGAGAAAATGTMGTGAAGAATGAAGAAAGTGCTTCAGAATGTTCAAATACTTTTTTAGTTTTAACAGTAGCATCYCCTTGGACATACATTGTGGTTTATGCTGTTGGCCTCTACCCAAGTGTGGAGCTCAGCTAGACAGAAAGCTGAGACACAGTGGCAATGAAACTGAATAGGAACTTTTGATTCTACTAGAGATATTGACTGAGAGCCACTTTTAGGACATTATTCATTTAGATTGATTTTGACAGGAGTAAATGAGGGAAYGGTGGCTTAATGTCCATGTATTTTTCCTGGTTCTGTCAATTTAGTACRTCTGTCTTGAAGGTATATTGGTGATACAGTACATGTGCAGCCTCGGAACAGTTCAGGAAGTTCATGCAGTACTTCACTGATGTCTGTTTTTCACTACACAAACCCCTCAGAAAGCCCCAAAAGTGACTTTAACATAAATGAATAGAACATGCTTTAAAATTGTTGAGTGGCAATTTTTCATTATATCCTAAGAGAGCAAATGTGTCATTTCCACCACAGGTAGGCAGAGATACCTTGGCACTGACATTTGGAGGTGCTACTGGAGATGACCTGTGGTGTTTGATCCCCATAGGGTTGTTGGATATGGGGCAGACCATATGGGATATCCAGGCAGTGGTAGCTGGAGGCCACGCAACCTGTGCTGGGCAAGAAATTGAGTCAGTGTTGTTCATTTGTTAGAAAAACTGTGGGTGTTGGGTTTTGGGGTTATTTAGGGGATTTTTTGCTTTTTTTTTTTTTTTTTTTTCATTTTGTTTTTGTTTTGTTTTTTTTTTTTTTTTTTTTTTTGTTTTTTTTTTTGTTTTGGTGTTTTTTTGGGTTTTTTTTTTTTTTTTTTTTTTTTTTGTTTCAGTTTTGTGGTGAAGTGTGCTCTGTGGAATATTTAGTTGTGTTACTATGCACCATAATACTTGAGAACTTGTTATTGAGACTAATCTCCCCTGGAATCATGAGGCAGGAAGGTGCTGCTTCCTGCTTCTTAAACACACAATAAAGTTACAGACTGTTGGTGTTCAATGTAGAAAGGCTGATACTCGTTGTGAAAAATGTCTAACACCTTGCAGTTTAATTTGGATTTTGACGTGGAGGAAGTCAATCCAGGAGCTGGGAGGGTCCGTGTCCCCATTACTGGTGGTATTTCTATTCTCTGCAGGTTAAAGTGAGGAGCATCACCACATTAGTGTTGCTTCTTGTATGGCTGAGTCAGGTGCTATCACTGTGACATGTTTTTCCTATTGCTTCTGAAATATTCTGTGACATTCAGCCTTACCTTAAGTACGGAGTTGTCAATAATTTCGGTGACTCAGAGGCCTTGTCCTCATCTCACACTGTCCCCAATTATGACAGCTGTAGAGTCTGCAGAGCTGTGCTGTAATGAGGSAAGAAAACTGCAGAAAAGTAAATAGTTGTTACAGCAGGAAGGTTTGTTAGGAATTTAACTTTTTTTTGAGCAGCACAGGCAACTGGCATTTCTATGGCTTTGCATAAAACAGTTTTTGGTTGTCAGAACACAGATGAAAAGGAGCTGTGATGAAATTTCATAAGCTAAGGACAGAAAGAATCCGAACATCACAGATATGTCCCTATGGATCAAGGAGAGATAAAAATATATAAGCAAGATATATAAGCAAGTTACTAATGTACACTGGTGGTTAAAAGTGCACATTTCTTATAAACATTTGTGCTTGAGTCTCTAAGTGCTATGGAATTAAGAGTTTCATTTAGAAGAAGTAACATTTTTGAGTGCATTTCAGTCCAGCTGAAAAGTAGGTGCTGAAAGCAGTGATTTGGGGCATCCATAACTCRAACAGCACTGAACTCTAATGTGTGCCCATTCCCTCTGTTTCTCTACTAATGCATGTTGATTCTGCTCAGTAATCACATTGCATTTCTCAATTTATATTGAGAAAATATTTATATTTTTTCCTGTGATTTTARTATAAACCAGCATCACCACTTTGGTCCATGGGCAGGGGGAATTCTGTCCACTTTAACAACACCTTAGCTGAAATGAGACTATCTTCAAAGGCAGTTATTGATGCTTTTCAGCTGGCTGCATAAACTTTCTTCCCTGCACAAATCTGATTAGAATTTAGCCATCAGATATCCCAAGAACTACAATTTTAAGATTCTCCTGAATAACTTGCATACCCCAAGTGCAGCTTGCCCTGTACAAGAGATCTATATCACCAGGAATGTTCTGAGCCTATCCTAGAGGCCACATAGACTTGCTTGCTTCAGAAGCAAGGCCAGTTGATTTTCTTTCCTGGACAGATATGAAATCATGTGGGAACTGAAAAAAAAAAAAAAGAAGGAGAAAGAAAGAAAGAAGATTTGAAAGGATACGGGGAGAGAGTTCAAAGTGGTTATAGCTTCCAATAAGATGCTAAACTAATTTTAAAGCCTGGTAGCATCCCTTGAATGTGACCACATGCAGTGCCAGAGATGTGTGCCTGAGCAAAATACCTGATTTGCTAAATGTTTACACAACTGGTGAGGGGCACATGTGTAGACAGTAAAACAGAAACCTGGGTGCTGGCTCTTTAATCCCCCAGACAGAGCCGTTCTCCAGGACCTGGACATCCTGCCTTTAGTAAGGCTTAGGAAAAGGATAAAACTGCCCCACGGTGTGCACTGATACTATTTATTATACTTTTGCTACTTGTTCATTACAAGTGAAAATATTGGCACAGCTGAAATGTTTCAGCATTGCAGATTTTCATTATTTTCAGATCTGAAGTGCAGTGTGTCTGATCCTAGTTGCACAAATTAAATATTAATAATCATTCAGATAGGTGAGTCCTCTGTGTATTGCAGATAATAACCCTTGTTTTAGAAAACATACATTTGTCCACATTTGTCATCTGTCTGATTCACTGAAGTGGAGACGAATGTAATAAAATGACCCTTGGGTAAAGAGATCTTTTTAGTTTGTTTCTGGAGGGGGAAAGTTTTCCTGAAACCCTGCCACTCCTGGATGAGCTGATTAATTTTTACCTTCATTATATTCCTGCTTTCCATTGCATTGCAAAGCATGAATAAGCTCATGGCTTTTTCTCTGATGGTTTGYCCCCTAGATTTCTCTGTGTAAATTCCTTTTTCATTTCTGTGCTTACCAGGTCAGACTTTGATTGCCAGTGATTGAAATTCTGGACTGAGCAGTACCAATTAGACTAATCTATTTATGTGGGTTAAATTCTCCTGGAATGCTTTATTTTGGAGTTRTATTTATGAGTAGTCCATCTTCCCTGTGCTATACCTTCCCAGTAGTAAGCTGGCTAGGGAGCAGAGATTTAAAGAGAAACAATCTATTTTCTTTGCAGTTATGAGGTAATGTCATCTAAAGGTTCCTCCTTTAGTTACCTTCATAATTTATTTATTGTAACCGTGGTTTGACTGAAATTCAAGTGCAAAAATATCAATAGTAAATAAATGTCAGTCCAGTTTACCTCAGATTAGGTGTGCTCATATGCTTATGTCATATYTGAGGAAAAATAAGGATGCTTTGGGATTCAGGGTGGGAAGCAGATATGGCACTGAGGTGACTTCTAACTGTTGCTGTGTTGGGGCTGTATTTGAGCAAGCAAAGAAAAGAGAATGCAAACAGCTGATGGTTACCTTGAAAAAAAGCTTTTCTGCCTAAATTTAGAAAATTCTTAGCCAAGTCTCTCAAGGATCTTTCCAGAGACAGTGAAAGTGCTCATAAATAGCCCCTCACCCTAGTAACAATACATAACACAGCCTGGATTCCTGGGATTTCAGCATCCCCTGACCAGCTGGGTATTGTGCAGCTGTCAAGCCTCAGCAGCTTCCCTGTATTGCTGACTGCCTCTGATAAAAAAAAAAAAAAAAAAAAAAAAAAAAAAAAAAAAAGAAAAAAAAAGGCGAAAAAGCCGTCAGAAAATATTTTATTTGTGTTTTTGGAACTGTTAACTCTTAGTAGTGCAATGTATCTTCTTTAGTTGCTGTCAATAAAAGAGTGAGCCTTTGGCATGAGAAATTAGCGCCGGCAGCAGCAGCAGCTCTTTGGCAGCCCCGCACTCCCACCAGGCTCCTGAAGATAAACAGTGTCTGAGGTCCTTGGTGCCATAATTCCTCCTTTTTATTCCTGGCTTTTGCTGCAGGTGGGGGAGTTCAGAGCCCACGCTGCAGAGTGGACGGCCAACGTCACCGCCGAGTTCAAGGAGACGCGACGGCGCCTGAGCGTGGAGATCTACGACAAGTTCCAGCGGGCCACCTCCATCAAGAGGAAGCTCTCTGCAGAACTCGCTGTCAACCACAACCAAGACCTGACCCCCTGCAAGAGAACGCTGTCAGTGAACCACCTGACCAGCGAGAAGGACCTCTTGCCAGCTCTGACAAAGACGGACAGCATTTACATGAATGGTTTGACGCCGCACTGTGCAGCAGAAGAGATTGCCGTGATCGAGAACATTAAGTAGCCGTGACTTTGAATCCCAGCCTTTGGGAAGCTCTTGGCTTAGACTAGCCACACACCTTTTTTCTCCACCCTGTCGATGACCGATGCTAGCAGCATTTTATATGTGTGCATGAGTTCCACAGAAAAACTACAGTCCCGAGTTCCCATCGCATCTCTTCAGAGACACAAAGAACAACGGCACTTCTGTTTCCGAAAGATGCTGGAACAAGCAATGTTTTCTGCCTTTATCTGCCCAGACTGTTTTTCACTTCTAATGTGCCATASGGCCTCACGAATGAATCTCACTTGTTTATGGTAACAATGTAGCTTTGAGGGATCAGTCCTTAAAATTTCAGGGTCTACCTTACTGAGCCTAGGAATGGACCATTTCTGGACTTACAACACATTTGTAAATGGCAAGAAATTCTTATGCAGCCTTTTACCTAAGAAATTTTGGTCAGTGCCTTATCTTTTGAAGAACCAGAACCTCTACAGTTCCTGTACAACTTTTGTTTGTTTGGGTTTTTTGCATGAGAAGTGTATTTCTTTTAAGCTTCCGTTCTTGAAATGATGGTGTTTTCAAAGGTGTCTGTTGTGAAGATACCAACCAGCATGAATGAATGCCAAAACTCAACAATCATCAATTGATGTTCTTAGCTCCAAATTTAAAGGCACTGCAGTTTCAAAAATTACAAACACGTCCCCCAGATGCATTTTGTTTCACTCAGGTCCAGCTGATATTTGTTCACGCTGACTTGTAGGATTTGAAGACCCTTTTCAGGTCTTAGTTTTCCAAGCAGTGTTCAGCAGTTGTTTTTCYCTGCATCAGATGTACCAAAAATTCTGCAGCTTATCTATCACTAAATTGTTTGGTAGATGACAAGAGCAAATAAAAATTACTGTTTTGATGAGAGGCAGGGGGAGGCTTTTAATTGCTGTGTTCTAATAATCACATCCAAAAAACAATGCAGAAGAATACAGCTATTTTTAAYAAACATAAACCTTCTGCCAGATATTTGGTATGAAAAGGGTTCTTAATTTCCTTTTTAAGCCCAGTCACCCCAGAAGCTACATGATATTTTACCCGGGAATCCTGGTGGAGCGCTTTCCTGAATGTCACGTGGGCTGCCTGTGCCAGAGCTGTGGCTAACGTGGGAATGCAATTGAAACTGGTATCACTGTGACTTTCTACATTTCAAATAGAGATGGCTCTGAATATCAGTRCAGGCATGAAGAAGAGCTGATAAATAGCACAATCTGAATACCGATGATTGTTCAGACAGGATAGGCTGACAAGAAGCAGATCTAAAGCAGACTATGGGTTTTCTTTATTGGTTTTAAGAAAACACATTAATTTTGTACCTTCTGTTTTGCTTATAGGAGTACATGAGATTCAGAAGAAATGCAGGATGGAATGGATAATTTTGCATTTTTTTTCCTTATGTTAGTCTGTTGTAACCTGGCTGTACATAAAATGAATAGAACAGGCCTTAAAGAAAAATTTAGGCTCTGTAAATTAAAAAAAGAATGGGACTTTGCTGATTGGGCATGATTCAAGTGGCAAATCTTACAGCATCTCTGACCATTAGATAACATGCAAATATGAATGTTCATGTTTTTTGGATGCTTAGCTTGTTTTCTAATAAATATAAGTTAATATGTAAATTCAGTGTAAATATCAGTCAATTAACATTTACAGAGAGTACGCTTTTAAAACTAAGAAAGTTCCATGACACAGCACCGAGCAATGCTCTTATAACAAAGACCCCTGTCTCCCCAGCACAGTGTTCTGAATGTCCACATGGCAAGGGTTCTCCTTGCCATGTATAAACTGTGAATTGTAATGAAAAATAAAGTTTTTAATTAAAATGAGCTTTCCTGAATCTCCTGCTTGCTACAACTGGAATGCTAAGAAATAATTTGTGAAACTGATTTTTATGCTTTCATTGGTTACAGAGTATAGCAGTTTGCCACCTGCTTTAATTTAAGCTGGTTTAGCAATAAAGGCTTGACTTACCCAGCACAGAAATTACTATTTTTTTTTCCTTGATATTAAAAATTATGCTCTTTGGTTGCTATACCTTAAGTTGTGTTTCTTTCTATTTTCTTTCAAAAACTTATCAGGATTCGGTTTCTTCCATGSTATGCTGCAGAGCTGCAGGCGATTGCTCCATCTTTGCCCCGAGGGAGGTGCAGGGAGCTCTGCCCCTGTGTCCTGCTGGTTCTCCTGTGGTTGCTGGTACCTTTCTGCAAAAGGGTGTGAACAAGCGGCTCCAAGGGCAGTAGCCTTTCACAGTGGAATTTCATATTGGAATGAATATTTTACAGGGACCTCTTTAATCAGGTCTTGGTTAAGGCAATGAGAGCCCACACCAGCATGATGGTAAGTGAGGAAGACTGGTTTCTTTATATTGTTTCAATCTGATTTGTGGGGTGTGTTTTAGTGCCTTTTGGAACTAATTTTTCAGAAAGGGCCAGGTAATGTTCGAAGTTTATTGTCCTTGATACTCAGAGATGAGATATTTTAGGTTAAAGCCTTGTATCACTCTAACCAGATTGTTTCCATTTACCAACCTACAGAAGTGTTTGTCTTCAATTTAAAAGAAATTTTTGGGTGTCTGAGGACCTGCTGGAAAGAGCACATTTTTTGGAGCTCCTGTGTCAGTGTTTGAGATACAAGTATGGGTAGATAAATCCATTCAGTTTTTATTTGCTTTAACTTTTGAATATGGTCTCTGGGAAAAGAATCCCTGTTAATTTATATATAAGATATTGCTTCTTTTTTCACTTTTGTAATTGGTCTAAATTATCCTCCCTTGTCAAAATAGACTTACCTGTGGGGAACAAAGCATAAACAAATAAAATCCTTTTTTTGGGAGTTTACTAATTGAAGAAGAAAAGATGCCACAGTCCAGATGGTAGAAGTAGGTAATCACGATCCAAACATATCCAGTTASATTAAAGTTATAGGAAAATCTTATTCTCCCTCTCCACATATAGTGGTAGACCACAAATACTGAGGATGACTCGATTAGTTTATAATATTTGATGAACTCAAAGGTTTTTCTCTCAATTCCCATAGGAGCAGATTTTTGTGTTAAAAACACTGTTTTTCTTGCTTCTGGAAATTTTGCTTGGTTCATTTTCCCTTCCAAATATGGAACTACCCAAGCATGAATTAGGATCCATTTGTACCCTCTCTTCTGTCACCCRTACATGGAAACATTTCAGACTGCTAATGCACTTGGTACTCGAGCAAGCTTGTGAAAATGATAAGGGGCTGTTTTCTTTTCTACGAAAAGAAAAAAAAAAAAAAAAAAGACATTGGCAAAATGTTCCGGATGAGAGACAAATTGTGGCACATAGGAATCTGTAAAGGCATATGTGCCACGTAATAGGACAATTTATTTCTCAGTATTAAACATGTTATTAATAAAACCAATTTGAAATYTTTTAAAGTGAAAGCTAGAGGTGATCTGTATTTTTCACTGTTGGCTGTCATAATTTTTTCTTTTTCTTTGTATTCTTTGGTGAGCTGTACCTGGTAAAGTGTCTATGCTGGTCAAACCCTCAATTTTTGGATAGCCCTGCATGACAGCCAGGGAGATGGAGTTGCAGAGAATTTGTACCATGCCCCATTCTTCCTTGAGTACCACGAAAGCACTTTCTTTGGTGTCCCCGCCATGGGCTTTGTAGCTCCTTTTTCTAATACCTAGGGATCCTTGAGGTGCCACTGCCAGAGCAGGGAAAAGCACAGAAGGATCAAACCCAGAATCCCATTAGCATCTCAGCCATGGCTTCCCCTCTCCAACTCTTCCTGACTGAACAGGAGGAAAGCTTGAGGGTAACAGGAACCCACAGAAGAACAAAACCTCTAAAGGTGCCACCCTTGACCTGAAATGGACCTTCCTTAGGTCACAGTGTAAGACCAGGATGGTCGATTTGAGAAAATCTGGTCTGGGTGTTTGTTTGGAGTTCTTGCTCCTCCAGCATTATTTCTACACCCGTGGCCTCTAAAGAGGAACACGGCACACCCTGCAGAAGGAAAAATGGGAGCTGCTCTACTTGGTCAAATCCACATGCACATCAAAATTGGGTGTACACATATAACTGATTCCTGGGAAGGAGATTTTCCTACAGTGTTGAAATACAGCAGTAATGCTTCTAAAAAATTGCTGTCATACAATTATGTGATAATTAACTTTTCCTTCYTACCCTGCAGTACTGTTTGAAATGAAAGGATTTTACATATTAGAAGAAATGCATATTTGCATGACTTTCAGAGTTAATTTTTTTTTCTGTTGCCCTGCAGATTTAAATGAACAATGTAACCTTATAGTGAATAAAGTGTTTCCTTTTGGGAAAAGTAGACAAGATGCTGATTTATTGTTATTGGAAATAACAAGCTGTTGAGCTCCATGGAGATTAAAAATGTCAGCTTTTTCATTTGAGCAAGCATTCACTGTTTTGCTAAATTCATGTTACAATTGTAAAGAGCTTTTATGAGAATCAATAGGAATAGTTTTATTATACTYGGAAAACTTGAATATTTCAATTTTAGGCCATTGCTTATCATGCTTTTATGAACTTTCAGATGAATATATTGAATAAACTTGTAAACAAGTACATGACTTATTGTAGAACAGTAAGTACCATTCATGCATAAAAACAGATGCAGTAGCATATGCAGCTTTGTATTCTGGATCCAGATATATCTATGCCTTCAATATGTATTGACATTGTTGCATCATCTTAAATTGACTAAAAAACCCACTTTGGCATAATGACTGTTGTTTCATGTAAACTCAGTGATTTGAAAATATAGCTCAATTTTCAGTCAGTATCTTAGAAAATCGATAGACTTCACAACTTTTTATGAATTATAACAGTCTGTCCACAGTGGTGATGCAATAAATAATCTCTTATTGATTACCTGTTTTAGTTATTTCTGAATGTTAGCTGTTTTCCTACCCTAGTTGCTGGAGATAGATAATTGCGAAGAAAGCAACTCATCTCCGTGGTTTGTGATCAATGCACTGTGACTGGGCTGCTGGTATTGGAATTCTTAGTGGTGAAAACTGGGATAATATGTTCTGCCTCCACTGTTACTCATTACTAGTAGCATTCATCAAATTCTGTGGATGCCCTGATTTTCCTGGGAATGTCACAAGGGTGTTTATACAGACATCTCTAGTCTGACTTTGGCAAACAAATGTCCTAAGTGAGAAACCTCTTTAGAAGGATTGACTGTTAATTCAATTATTTATAATAGTTGGTTCTCAAGACTAATTATATGCAGACAGATCTTCATCCTCCAGAGAAAGGCATATAACACACATATTATAGAGATCCTGATGGGAATGTACTCTTTGTCATTAGTAATGAATAACAATATTCTTCAAAACATAATAAACAGCCTGAAATGACTCCTTAAACAGCAGTTTATTGTTAGCTCCATTTTTTTTTCTTTCGCTATTAATTTCAGCCTTCAAATTAAACAGGGAGTTCTGAGAAGTTTTGCTGAAGCAATACAGTTACTTTGAAAGATGTATTTTAGTCTTGTCTCAGAGGATACTGACSCTAACTTTGCTGAGTGACTGGAAATGTCAACATACATGTTGAAAACTTACTCATGGGAGCATRAGAGAATACATCATGGTTCTGTTGATTTTGACTTGTGTCAGGTCTACTTCTGTTTTGAGTGGAATTTGCTTTTTTCTGCAGAGATTATAACATTCAGTAATCATGCACTCAAGCATGAAAAGTTCACAGCTCTGSTAGCAAAGGTGATAAAGAAAGGTTCTGCTTTAACTATCTCAGCTATAGCTGGRATGTGATGTATTGACATTCAGAACRATTTGTCACCTTGTTTGTTCTGTAGCAGAAGAGAGGGAATTTACAGATTTGAAGGCATAATGTTGCACATTTGGACTGAATAATTGTGCAAGGTTGCAGCCTGGGCCCTTCTGAACTACAGACTGATAAGTGACTAAGTCTGAATACTTTTTTTAATAGTGGTTTGTTGCAAAAAGAAGGATAAAAATTTAGGTTCTGCTGTGAGAAGTGGAAGTGGGAGCATCGTGTCGTGTACTATTGTGCACTTGGTAACGTGGAGGTGGCACAGACACAAAGACCTTTTCATTTCTCAGCGTCCTCAGGACTGTCAGGAGAGAGTCAGTGTAGCCTGCGTTATCTYACTGTGTTCTTGCTCTTTTGCAAGCTCAGGACGTGCCCCAGCTGTAGAGGTTCTGTACCTTCCTGTACCACTTGGCTGAGTCATGGGACAAATTGACAGGGGTAAACTTTCTCTTGCTCATATGGCACAGGTGGAGCAAGAAGGGAAAGGTTTGGCTGATGTAGGTACAACTTGTTCTTTGCAAAGGGGCAGAACACACCTGAAAGCTGGACAAATTTCACTTTGTCTAACATGAAGCCCTGAAAAACTCATTTATGTAAAGGTTTTTGGAATAATGGGTTCTTATTTGCTCCACCAAGATCAGAGCAGAGGCTGCAGTTTTGTTTTATGTTGCAGCTGCACTCTGCTTTTGAGCTTGGCTTGTCTCTAAATGAGCAACACTAGCACAGAATTAGCCCTGGGAACAGTTTCTACTTGTGTAGACAGAAAATACAACAAAAGAGTTCCCTGAGAACTAGAAATGAAAAAACTCCTGTCAATTCAAGCTGCTGGTTGGTGATCATGGAAATCAGGTTTAGAAAGGAAACAAACTTTTATTGTCACTATAGAAGGGCTGCATTTGCACATTGCTCCATGTTTGTTGTCCTTTAACAGAGCCGCCTGCTCCAAGAGTAGTGGATTACAATGGAGAGCATGTAAAGCCCTTAACTACAGAGCACACCAGAAACCTTTCTTCCTTTTTATTACAAATCCTAAGACAGTTCCCTGTACAGAAAAGGCAGAGTGCAGAAATGCACTAGCTACAAACACCAGTCAGGATATTTTCCTTTTGTTCTTTTTGTTATTGTTTCCATTTGTGTCTGTGGGCTAGAGTTAAAAGACTTCATACATTTTAATGTGGCACCTTGCATAATAAATGTAAGTCATTGAAGCAAATTTGTGTGCTGTATGCCTCTGGTTTGCACATTTTGGTCCTATTAGAAAAACATTCTCCTGTGTAGGTGAAAAAGGGCTATTTGTGAAAAACATACACTAGAAATGGTTAAGACGGAATAATCATCTGACTAGTGTTTTCCCAATTAATATGCCAGAAATTTTGAAAAAAAATATGTTGCTGTGGAGTCT